TGCAACATTCCAGCATACGAGGGTACTTGTTTAACTTCAAAACGATCACATAAGACTCTTAAATTTTCAGTAATTTTCTCAAAACTTACCATAGCTTTATCTTGCTGATTTGAAAGCATTTGAGACAAGTCTCGGTTTGCCTCCTTAACCTCGGCCAAAGCATCATGTAGGAAGTCAATTTGACTCTTCATGAGCTGTACTTGAGCCTCCATGCGACCCTCTACATTCTTTGAAGCGATTTGAGTACAACCAGCAACTCCGGATGACATCTTTGCTCAACAATTACGAGATTCCACCAACAAAAGAAGTAGTGTGCCTTGTTTACTACACAAAAACTCCTTGAACCCTAGAACCAAAGTATGGTTCGGCCAAAAACCCCCCCAAGAACCAAAGGAAGGTTCAAATAAAGCTCTCCCCAAAAACAAAAACTCTCTTGTGCTTTTAAGAACACAACTCTCAAAAATTTCAGAATTAAAGAGAAGAGTGCTTCTCTTGCTTTTCTCTTTGATCTCGGCAGCAAGAAAGAAGAAGAAAATTGGAGTAGAGTGTGTGAGAATTTTCAAAAACAGCACTCCTAGTTATAGGCAATGCAAGTCTTTTTGTGCAAGAAAACTCCTACAAGATAGGACCTAAATTTCTCAAAAATATTCCCCTAATTGATGAAGGTTTGCTCGAAAATGTGGAATAAAGAAGAAGAAAACCGGCCTCATATATATAGACAAGGATAGAGTCCTAAAACTTAGGTAAACATAATCCTTTTGGACACAAATTAAGAAAACTCATCCCTACTTATTAGAGATAAAATTTTCGACCCCCCTACTACTAAAAGGACTCAAATACACGGCCACACACATGCACAAATGTATTAGAAGACTAAAATATTTTCAGATTAGGATAAGACTTCCTTATCTTAATAGTTTTCGAAAATAGACTCACTTTAAAACTCTAATTATAACTTACTGAAATTATAATTTAACACATGCAAAAATTAGTATTTAAATCCAAGTAGGACTTAAATAAAACACACCATAAAATTGTATTACAATTAGGAAACAATGGCTGCAAATTTTCGGCCAATGTGAACACAAAAATCCAACACCGAATAGGACTCAAATCATAACACAATTTGGACTCAATGACCTTAATTTTAGAGCTCAAATTTTCGGCCATGTGAACACACAAATACAAGACCAAATAGGTCTCCAAGTGTAACACAAATAGACAACCAAAATTCAAGTTCAACTAGAACTAGGAAAACCTAATTTTTAGCTTCACAATTTCGGCTATACTATGACTCTAAAATTCAAAACCAACTAGGCTTAGAATACCACATAAATCACACGCACACACATGCAAAAGTCAGTAAAATTTCGGCCATTAACCTTTTACCACATAGTTAAAATTTGAAAAATTACTTTTGACTCTCTTAAAAAGGAAACTTGAAAATTACCACTTTTCAAAAATGGACAACAACTTTTAGAATCTTTCTAAAAACCCTTTTCCAAATTGTACTTGGAATTAACAAAAATCACTTTTTACCAAAACAATCCATGGCAAATAAAGTAACAAGAATACCATAATTATAATTCAATTATGACATTTGCTTCATAATACTAAATTTAACACAAATCATTCTGAAAACTCAATGACTTAACAATGCCATCTTCATAAGTGACCATTGAAAATCAATCTTCCAACAACCAAATATGTAAACTTTGAGAATACATCTCAAAACCTATAAGATTTCTCGTCAAACATTAAGAAAATCTTTTTAGAAAAACTTCACTTAATTTTCGACCCTCCTCTCGAAAATCAAGGTTTTAGAACACAAGTCAAAGACTTCAATCCTTAAAGTTGGCACAATTCAACTTCAAAGACCTTAAAACACTTTGATACCAAAACTGATATCACTAAAATTCATTCTTCATCACTTGACAAAGAAAGTTTTTTTTTGACTCAAATTCAAAGTGTAAAACTCGAGAAACAAGAAAACCAACACTTGTTAATTTTGAAAAATCTTTTGACACTAAGATTAAACAAAATTCGGTCTCTATGAAATTTCCATGAATTGAAAATCCATAAATTCTATTTTACTCATTAGATTCAAATGAAACCAACAAGAAGGAAGGCTTTTTCATTTATACTTTATGTAGAAAGTACAAAATCCTTAAGCTTCACCTTTCAAAGAACAGATCCAAGATATTTACCACAAGATAAACTCTCAAATCCTCCTTATGTAAAGACATCTCTTTAGAAAGAAAAGGCTATCTCGAGCAAGAAGCTCTTCTTTGGCATCAATTCTCTCCTTAAAGATCCAACACATAAGATCCACTAACTTGCTCATAGGAGAAACAGTTCTCTACTTGCAAATCAAGGATAAATTTCAAGATGTAGCGCCCACTTTGATTAGATACCAACGTACCATCATCAATCTCTCGCATAGACCTTAAAATAACACCACAAGATCAAACAAATGTGTAAGAAGTCTCGCACAACAACACAAAAGACAAGATCAATTTTGAAAACGTAGTTTTCACAAGAATTTGATTTATTTTTTCAACACCCCATTCCAAAACAAGAAGGAACCTTGAAACAAATAAAGATAGTACTACTCGTTAAGTAGCACAAAGCTCGATCACAACACCAAGTAACGGATTCCGTGGTAATTCAAGATATTCTCAAAACCAAGAACTATAAAGTTCCCAACTAAGAAGAAATCTCTCGAAAATCAAACTGATAATAGGAATTGATATGACAATATCAATTAATACCATCACTAAGATAATCCAAGCTCTGATACCAAGAAACTGATAGCAATCTTGTAGACGAAGCAAATTTCGTTAATGCAACCATCAACAAGAAAGTACGAAGATAATTTTGTCTATCCCGTGAAACTCAAAAGAGTGCGGAAAATTCACAGTAAGACGATCGTTTATCTAAGTGATTCTATCTCTTAACTCAAACCAAGCAAAGAACACATCATCCATGAAAGATTCGAATTAAACAACAATCCCACGCTAAGAATAGCAAGGATACCATTCAATATACTCGATCAGTCATTAATCAAGAGACTCAAGAAAGGTAGGAGCAAACAATGCCCAACTATGAAGGAATACTATTAATTAGTAATCTTCATAACCAACCAAAGATATGCAACACATACACTATCTCAAAATGCTTATGCCAAAGCACAACTCATCCCAACAAAAGTAGGACAAACCCCACAATGGATCTCATGAACACACTCATCATGAAATTCGAACACCAAGCCAAAGGAAAGGCTCATCAATCGAACTACTAGAAGTAGTATGAAAATAAGAAGTTTAGTTTTAAAATAATTCTATCAAGAAGCATACTTGAAAAGAATGGTTTCGCAAGATCAAAAGATCCAAGACAAGATGAAAACCCTCTTGGTTTAAACATACTTGACACGAAAAATGGACACTCCATTTAACAAAAATTCCTCACAGGAAAAACTCTCAAAAGAGACAACAAAATGACCACTCAAGGGTGCTTCTAAAATTCGGCCAAGCCTCCTATATATAGGCTTGGATTTTTCGGCCAGCACCTCTAAAAAGAAGACCAATTAGGACTCTCTAATCTTATCTCACAAGGAGTAAAAGTAGAAGAGTACTTGATCTCTTTGACTCTATCTAAAATCTAGGAAACCTTATCTAAATCACTTATCCTCAAGTAGGATAATATCTAGAAGGAATCTAAGACTCCTAATCAAAACACTCTAGCTTAATTCAGTCCACATGACTTATTTAACTAGATAAAATTCAAAAAATTGACTCCTAGACTTAGACTAACTCTAATCTCGAAATTCAGCTCCAAATTATTGAAGTAAAATGTCTTGAACGCCCTTCCAAAAGTGGAATATTGGTCTTGCGCCCTTAAGTTGTAGAAACCTCCAATTTACTCCAAAACTTGTAGAATTCACCTTATTGACTCCAAAAGATTGGAAAAACACTTGAAACAATTAAGATAGCTTGCAACCTATCCAATTGTGTAGCAATGGACTCAATCTTGAACACTTTGATCAAATAGGCCGTCCACTCATGAACCTAAATGACTCTTCTCACTAGCTTTGATCAATGATCTTCATGGAGCACACAGAGTCAAACTCTCTTGATACTCTTCAGCACTTATTTCCATGAGGTCTTCATCTCCTTTGGTTTGCACCCCAAAGTTAATGACATTCTCATCACCTTGATCATAGCTCTCTTGAACCAACTCCCTATCACATAGGTAGTCAAGATCCATCCTTTCTTCCTTGATTGGCCTGCAAAGTAAACTTGGCATTCCAAATCTAGAATGAAGGATTAACTCATTTTCCTCACTAGGAGAACCTCCATGGAAGGCTACATGATTCTCATCATCCCCTCCTTCTTTAAGAGGATTCGTCCTCGAATCATCAACCTCTATACCTGCACAAGGAACAAACGAGATATAAGGGTTAGTAAAATCCTCACCCTCACCACACTCTGATTTTCTCTCATTGCGTGCATTTATTTCTTTTTCCACGCTATTTTCATGGTTTTCTCTCGCCTCAAGTCTTACCTCATCGTGACCCTTTTTACTTTCTTGCGTCACTCGCTCGACTTTTTCTCTCCCTTGTGTATAGGTTATCTTACGTCTTTTCTCTCGCACAGATTCAGATTCTTCATAAGCCAAAGGCTTAAGAACATATTTTCTGTCCTCTTTAGTAAAGACAAAGATATTCTTAGAGCAATGGTGCACAGCATCTACATCCGACTGCCAAGGCCAACCTAGCAAAATATCACAAAGAGACATAGGAATTACATCAAAGTAAATTTCATCCCTATACTCACCAATCCTTATTGACTCCAAAAGATTGGAAAAACACTTGAAACAATTAAGATAGTTTGCAACCTATCCAATTGTGTAGCAATGGACTCAATCTTGAACACTTTGATCAAATAGGCCGTCCATTCAAGAACCTAAATGACTCTTCTCACTAGCTTGATCAATGATCTTCATGGAGCACACAGAGTCAAACTCTCTTGATACTCTTCAGCACTTATTTCCATGAGGTCTTCATCTCCTTTGGTTTGCACCCCAAAGTTAATGACATTCTCATCACCTTGATCATAGCTCTCTTGAACCAACTCCCTATCACATAGGTAGTCAAGATCCATCCTTTCTTCCTTGATTGGCCTGCAAAGTAAACTTGGCATTCCAATACTAGAATGAAGGACTAGCTCATTCCCCTCAGTAGGAGAACCTCCATGGAAGGCTACATGATTTTCATCAGTCCCTATCCTCATCCCTTTGCCTTTGTAACCCCACATGTACGGTTTGTGCATCCGTACCATTCTCTGTAACCCCACATGTACAGTTTGTGCATCCGTACATTTGCTTGGACTCCCAATCCTCATGTCTTTCGATTTGTGACCCCCCATATGTACAGTTTGTGCCTCCCTATTTTTGATTTGAGGCCCAATCTTCATGCCTATGGCTCTGTAACCCCATATGCACAGTTTGTGCATTCGTACATCCAATTGGAGGCCTAATCATCATGCCCTAGGCTCTGTAACCCGGCACATACGGTTTGCGCATCCCTACAGCTTATTGGAGGCTCAATCCTCATGCCTTTGGCTTTGCAACCCCACATATACGGTTTGTACATCCTTACAATTGATCAGAGGCCCAATCCTCATTCCTTCAGCTCTGTAACCCCACATGGATAGTTTGTGCTTTCGTACATCCGATTGGAGGCACGATCCTCATGCCTTTGGCTCTGTAACACAACATGTACGGTTTGTGCATCCGTACATCCAATTGGAGTCTCAATCCTCATGTCTTTCAACCTATAACCCCACATATACAGTTTGTGCATCCATACAGTCGATTGGAGGCCAATTCCTCTTGCCTTTGCCTTTGTAACCCCATATGTACAGTTTGTCCATATGTACATCCTATAGGAGTACCAATCTTCATGTCTTTCGATCTGTAACCCAACATGTATTGTTTGTGCATCCATGCAGTCAATTGGAGGTCCAATCCTCATGCCTTTGGCTCTGTAACCCCACATGTATGGTTTGAGCATCTGTAGAGTTGATTGGAGGCCCAATCCTCATCCCTTTGGCTTTGTAACCCCACATGTACAGTTTGTGCATCCATACATTCGATTTGAGGCCCAATGTTTATGCCTTTGGCTCTGTAACTCCACTTGTACGGTTTGTGTATCCGTACATCCGATTGGAGGCCCAATCCTCATGCCTTTGGTTGTGTAACTCCACATGTACGGTTTGTACATCCGTACACCCGATTGGAGTCCCACAAGTATAGTCTGTGATTGGTTGTGCATCTGTACAGTCGATTGGACTCCCAATCCTCAAATCCATCGATCTATAACCCCACATGTACAGTTTGTGCATCCGTACATCCGATTGGAGTCCCAATCCTCATGTCTTTTGAGATGTAACCTCACATGTACGGTTTGTGCATCCCTATAGTCGATTCGAGGCCTAATCCTCTTGCCTTTGGCTCCGTAAGCCCACATGCACAGTTTGTGTATCCGTACATCCGATTGGAGACCCAATCCTCATGCCTTAGGCTCTGTAACCTGACACGTACAGTTTGCACATCCGTACCTTCGATTGGAGGCCCAATCCTCATCCCTTTAGCTCTGTAACCCCATATGTACAATTTGTGCACTCGTACAGTTGATTGGAGTCCCAATTCTCATCCCTTTGGCTCTGTAACCCCACATGTACGTTTTTTGCATCCATACATCCGATTGGAGGCCCAATCGATATGCCTTTTTCTTTGTAACCCCACATGTAAGGTTTGTGCATCCGTACATTTGACTGGTGTCTTAATCCTCATGTCTTTCGATTTGTAACCCCCACATGTACGGTTTGTGCATCCATATTTTTTATTCGAGGCCCAATCTTCATGCCTTTGGCTGTGTAACCCCACATGCTCAGTTTGTGCATCCGTACATCCAATTGGAGACCCAATCATCATACCTTAGGCTCTGTAACCCGACACGTACGGTTTGCGCATCCGTACAGCCGATTGGAGGCTCAATCCTCATGCCTTTGGTTTTGCAACCCCACATATACGGTTTGTGCGCATCCTTACAATTGATTAGAGGCCCAATCCTCATCCCTTCGGCTCTGTAACCCGACACGTACAGTTTGTGCATCTATACATCCAATTGGAGTCTCAATCCTCATGTCTTTCAATCTGTAACCACACATATACAGTTTGTGCATTCATAAGATCAATCGGAGGCCAATTCCTCATGCCTTTGGCTCTGTAACCCCACATGTACGGTTTGTGCATATGTACATCCGATTGGAGTACCAATCCTCATGTCTTTCGATCTATAACCCACATGTACGGTTAGTGCATCCATACAGCCGATTGGAGGTCCAATCCTCATGCTTTTAGCCTTTTAACCACACATGTACGGTTTGAGCATCCGTAGAGTTGATTGGAGGCCCAATCCTGATTCCTTTGGCTCTGTAACCCCACATGTACGATTTGTGCATCCGTACATCCGATTGGAGGCCCAATCCTCATGCCTTTGGCTCAATAACTCCACATGTATGGTTTGTGGATCCGTATAGTCGATTGGAGTTCCAACCCTCATGTCTTTCGATCTATGACCCCACATGTACGATTTATGCATCAGTACAGTCGATTCGAGGTTCAATCCTCATGCCTTTGGCTCTATAACCCCACATATATGGTTTGTGTAACCGTGAAGTTGATTGGAGCAAATCCTCATGCCTTTGGCTTTGTAACCCCACATGTACAGTTTTTGCATCCATAAATCTGATTGGAGGCCCAATCCTCATACCTTTTGGCTCTGTAACCCCACATGTACGGTTTGTGTATCCGTACAGTCGAATGGAGTCCCAATCCTCATGTCTTTTAATCTGTGACCCCACATGTACGGTTTGTGCATCTATACATTCGATTGAAGTCCCAATCCTCGTGTCTTTTGATCTGTAACCTCACATGTACGGTTTGTGCATCCAAATAGTCGATTAGAGGCCCAATCCTCATGCCTTTGGCTCCGTAACCCCACATGTACAGTTTGTTCATCCATACATCCGATTGGAGGCTCAATCCTCATGCCTTTGGCTCTATAACCGCATTTGTATGGTTTCTGCATTTGTAAAGTATATTGGAGTCCCAATCCTCATCCTTTTGGCTCTGTAATCCCACATGTACCATTTGTGCATCCGTACATCCGATTGGAGTCCCAATTCTCATGTCTTTCTGATAACGGTTAATTTGTTACATAAAAGTATGGCAACTTACTCTTTAATTAATAGGAAATTAAGGGGGTTTATCAGAATTAGTTCATTTTACTTAACTAGTTTTGTGTTTTTATATAGCCAAGGACCTGAGTAAACATTACCTGAAGAAGGGGGCTTTTGGAACAAAAATATGGGCTGATGAGTTCAAGCTGGCTGATCTGGTCAAAAACAACTCCAAGACACAAAGCACCTTGAGATTAATGAGGGTGTCCCACCTTAGAACCCCAGGAGCATGCTTGTCCCCTTAGCTCCCCCTTGTAATCAATGCAGCTACTGATACCACCTTTGGAAGAAGAAGGAAAGACCAGTCAATTCGGGGTTCAAAACACAAAGCATTGGGGCAATTAAAAAAATACACAAGCATGGAAGGGCTCTATAGGGAGAGGAACCGGCAACAAAGTTCTATAAAAGGGGAGCTGCATTTCCAGCATTGAACATCTATATCTGCTTCTTTCAGTCAACTAAAACACACAGAGAAACTCTAGAAGGAAGGCAAGATCAAGGAAGAACAACAACAACTCAGCAAGAGACAGAGTTGAAGAATAATCATCCCAGTCACTGGTTCACTCCCCTGAGTGAACTCTGTCATTCCCAGGAGTGACCTTGAATTGCATAAGCTGTCTTCTTCTCTTAACTGTTAGCTTGTATTTCATTTAATTGATGCATATTTCTATGATGTCTTTTGAAGTAGTGGCAGTAGTATCAACCAGTATGAGTAGCTAAATAGCTTCCAGGGTTAATCTCCTCAACCTCTGTTGTAGTTGTTGTAATGCACTGGTTTTGTTCTATGTTTTGAAGTTGGAAGTGTTTCTACATTCAGTTACTTGATCACCAACTGAATGCATGCTAGAACTAGGGGAGATCTGGAAAGATAAACTTGGTTCGGATTGTTTCAACTTCAACTTGTGACATAGAGGTAACAATCTATGGTTTAAACTAAGATAGGAATATACTTAGTTGACATAAGCATTCATGAAGACTGAGATCTTAATGACTTTATAACTGGACTCAAACATTGGAAAATAGATTGTTAAGGTTACAAAGATGACTCTAGGAAAAATAGGAACTGACTTAGAGTTACATCTGAGCTGAATGAACAAGAACTTAACCATTAAGTGCAAATTACACAACTGCTGCATAGGAAGAGGATATGAACACCCCTGGGCTGTACTCTCCTGAGTGAACTTTTTCATTCCCCTGAGTGACACCTTGCCTGAACTGGTAGTCTGTTAACAACAAATTAGGTAATTTTGTTGTCCTCGTGGGATCGACCTAGCTTCCATTATCTAAAAAAAGTTATAATCCGGCTAGTGTATATTTTTGGTGAATTCGGCACACACTAGAAAGTGGCACCATTGCCGGGGAAGGCATAAAACCTCCAGAAATTTGTTGTTTTTATTTGTGAATATATATATAAAAAAAAACCCTTCTCTGGTTATTCCACTGAGCTTCTAATTTCTTTTCCTTGGTGTATGACTAGAAGGCACCAACGAAGTGAACCAGTTTTTGATTCGAAAATTGAAGCTACTATACGCAGAGCCAGAGCAGCAAAGAGAAAGCAAGATCGGTTGCAACAGAACCGCCGAGAAGGTTCATCAGAAATGGCTAACCAAGGTGGTAACCCAGAGAACAATAGGAACCCTGGTGGTGATCGCCAGAATCAACCTAAGAGATTGCTCAAAGATTTCTTTATTCCACAACAAGAAGAAGTCCAATCCCCATTAGTAGTTCCTGATGTGGAGGCAACCAATTTTGAGTTAAAGCCACAGATGATCCAATGGACTCAGTCAGCCTGCACATTCCATGGATTACCTCATGAAGATCCTAATGATCATAGAAGTTTCTTGCATTTATGCAGTACTTTTAAGATTCAAGGCTTATCCAATGATGACATTAGATTGAGATTATTTCCTTTTACTTTGCAGGATCAAGCCCAAGCATGGTTCAACACATTGCCCAACAATTCTATCTCCACTTGGGAAGAGTTAAGACAAGGCTTCCTTACAAAGTTTTTTCCACCTGCAAAAGCTGCACAACTCAGAACTGCAATACTGAATTTCAAGCAGCATGGAACAGAAACATTCTATGAAGCATGGGAAAGATTGAAGCAAATGATCATAAAATGCTCCCAACATGGTTTGGAAGAGCACCTCCAACTGAGCATCTTTTACAATGTTTTGCTACCAGCCACAAGAGACTCCCCTGATGCTGCAGTTGGTGGTGTGTTCATGATGCAGCCGGTTGATGCAGCAAGGCAGTTGCTTGATACTATGACCACCAATCATTCAAGGTGGAAATCTGATCCAAGAGCAAGTACAAAGCAACTAGGAGTAATGGAACTTGACCCCAGTACACACCTGCAAGCACAGATGGCTGTGATGATGAATGAGATGACAAAGCTGAGGAGTGAGTTGTCCAAATCCAAGGCTGAAGTGTGTGTGTTATGTGATGGATCTCACAATTTGGATAACTGTCCATCCAAAAGGGAGGCTGTCCAGTTGGTTAGGCAGGGCAATGCTGGAGGATTCAACAACTTCAACAATTGGCGAAATCAGCAGCACCCCAACTGGAATAATGCACCACAACAAGGAAACTATCAGAGGCCTACGCAACCCCAAGGATTTCAAAGACAAGAGGCCAACCTTCCAATTATCAGAATCAACAGCGTTCTAATCAGCAATACATACCAAGGGAAGATGAATGGATTTCTATGCAGAATGCAATTAAGAATTTGATTGTGTCTTGCAAGAGTCTGGAAAATCAGTTGGCT